CTATAAGAAAATATTTCTGCCCTTACCCCTCTACTGTTGTAACGTCAGAGGCAATGCATGCTTTATATACTATTATTATTATTTAAGTTAGGACACTTGAGTGGGGGCTTATATCATTGTTTATCTCAATTTAGTATATACATTTTATCCCTCATCTTGTCTGTGTTCTTCGGTTTTGTTATATTTGTTTCCTCTCAAAGAGTAGACTGACTCAATCCTAACAATTGTTAAAACCAGATGATATCTACAACCAGCATACCTGGTCTTGTCCCTAGCGTTCCAGTTCCCTAGGTGCTCCAGCTTTTTACATTCAAACTTACCCGTGTTCATTTTTAACAATAACTGACAATCACAGATTTGGTCGTCTTCATATGATGGCCGACATAAAAAGAAGATATATTAGAATGAATGTTTTCTCTTATGAAACACCTCAATGTGGATCTGCTGAGGTCAGCTTTGTAAAGAGATAAGAGATTTTCAGTTCTTTTTTTGCAATTTCATCTTTGAGCTAGTACAAAAAGAAAGAAAGAAATTGGCACAGCACATATAGACACAAACTGTTTGCTTTGAATTGATCTTCATTCATTTTGGACGCCAACGTCCACCTCAGTCTAATATCATCAAAACAAAACTCAACATTGTGGATGGTTGTGGGATATATATCATTGAAAAACACCTGTCGCTAAAAAAGGGGAAACTGCTTTCTTTATTAATGCTAAGTTTTTTTTCACTGAAATAGATGCTACAGGCACCCACAATGTAATTTCTCGTTTTGGCTTAGGTGGACATTCGCTTGTGGAGAAATTATGTTTTTCACAAATATCTTTTGATCCAGGTAACGTTGTGCTCTTATAATTTTTTGTTCTACCCCAACCGCTAGCGTCACATTCTCACGGAGTTTGAGCTTTGTGCAATGCATACTCTCCATTGCCCGGGTCGAAAAACACGGTTCTCTTTTCTCAAGAACTTCCTGCACAATCAAACCGGCAAATCTATTAAGACGAACTGAAAAAAGCTACAACTGACACCGCTCGTCCATTGAAAATTGACACACATAGATTGTGAGACTCTTATCAGTCCATGTTCGCCCTCTAAGTGAGGGCTTGTTATCCATTCGGCATATCAGAAAAAGCCCTGTGCCAGCTACTGCTACTGGAAAACCTTTGCTGCTTGTGTCTTCACACAGAGGGACAGGCTCAAACTTTGTTTTACTTCAAATCATGCTACAGAACCAAGGCAGGGTTCTTGTAGGAACGGTCAAGAAGCATTTCAAAACAAGTTACTTGTGCCAGTGGCATAGCTATGCACGAACTCAACTCTGTGACGTCACGGCACGGTGGTGGCGCGTCGGGCGCACTTCCGGTCTGGGGCTGTGGGCAGAAGTCCCCATGCCAGACATGTATTCCTGCGTTGTTTTGAAAGGAACCAGACAAAAACCTGCCTTCTCGTCAAAACGCCGCGACTGGGACCATACCAAAAGTGTCGAGAAAGGTTTGAAGGTCAGTTTTCACTTGCTCGGTTCGTCCGAGAATCTGGATATGTGCCGTGAAAAGGGAAAAGCAGACGCCGTCGGACAACGATTGCTTGGGGGGGAAGCGCTTTGGGTTGAATTCACGGATACTTGTGGTCATCAGATTTATTTGTTTTGTTCCAACATGAAAGCCAGAAAACCGTCAAGTTGTGCGGACCACCTGCGGACTACGTTCAGTGCGTCTTCAAGTTCAAACGGCCGCCTCATCGTTCGAACTGTCGTCTGCTCTTCCTAACGTTTCTGCTTGTCGTCTGCTCTCTTAGACGACACTGGCCAGTAGACCGAATGTTGGCCCGGTACTTGCGATAAGAAGTAAGTGCATGCATCAAGACTTAAATTTGAAGGTTGGTAAGCAGGCTCGATGTAAACAGTAGATACAAGAAGATGTTGATCAGTGTTACCAGTGACCATCACCGACTTGTTATGCCTAATTCACTTGGTCCGATTCTACTTGCGATTTTCAGTATCGACGTCGACCATCTCAGCTACGGTTCACGCTTTTGTAGCCCGAGCGGCGTTGCGAGTGAAAATTCCGAGCGAAATCTCATCATGCGTATCAGGCATTAGCGTATTGTAAATACTGCGGCGTCTACGCAGAATGAATCGCCAAATGTCACATTATTCACGCAAAGTTTTGCAGTGTAACATGCCTCGGAAATTTCGCTGATGCCGCTGAAGATAGTCAGACATCGCCAGAAAGACGTAGAATCAACAATTCAAACGCGAAAAAGGGCAGGGGGACTCACACCGACAACATCGCATTTCAATGGTTTGTTTTGGGCGACGGCGAGCTTCTTGCCCACACCCCCATCGCACATGCGCGGTGCCGGTGGCGTCCGCTAGGGGCGCTCCGGTTTGTTTGTAAACATGAGTTGGTGTATAGTTCGTTGCAACTCAAGAAGGTAGGGCGAGGTTGAGGCGGGCCGGGGAGGAGGAAACAGACGGAGTTGAGGCGGGCCGGGGAGGAGGAAACAGACGGAACACTGGAGAAGAGAGAGGGAAACCTCCTCCTCTCTTTAGTATTCCGCCTGCTTCCTCCTTTCCGGCTCGTCTTACCATCGCCCTACTTTCTCTGAGTTGCAACTGACTACAGGAATTGTTTTTAGAGGGAAGGGGGGTATCTCTACAATAGGGGGGGGGGGGGGGGGGGGCTCTGGAGGTGGGCATGAAGAGTGGAGGGAGGAAGCAGAAGGAGCAATATGATCTTGAGGGAGAAGGGGAGGTGCGACCCTGAAGCCCTGCCCCCTCCACCCTGCCTATGCCATTGTTTAGAGCACTGCAGCCTCAGCTATACTACCATTGCAAGGCAAAACAATGTTTCAAAAGCAATCAAGAGAAAGCTAGCACCTTTCACAAAATTTCAAACAAAGCAGACCAAGGCTTGCCCTTGGCCTTTAAATGGTGAAGTTTTGAAACTGAAGTCTCGGAGCGTCTGTAGCACCCTGGCCATTCTTTTCGGGGACAATGACTTGCCTCAAAATTGACTCAATACACCATTAGATATGGCTGAAGTTGTAACATAAATATTATGCCCAGGCGGGTTCATTGTTTGGGCAATAGAACTTGTCCCCAAGTGATTAAAAGGACACTGACACCCCCCAAAAAATTCAGTTTTCTGTTTTTGTTTGGCGATCCATTATGGTGTCCCAAGACAACCCAATCAATATTTTGCTACAGCGTATATATATATTTAATAAAATAAAAAAACAGAACTAACCGAAACTGAAACTAGTTCCAAGGGGTGGGGGAGGGGGGGGGGGGAATATAGAGGGGGAGAAAGTTGCCAAAAGCCACGTGGCTGTGCAATTTTCGTTCTTCTTTCAATCAATGTATTTGCAGCATTTTAGAAGTCACAAAAGTATCATATTTTCTGTCGATTTTTAGTATTGAGTGTGTGCCTTCGATGACTCACGACTTTGATTATCTTTGGTGGTTATGTCTAAACCGTAGCAAACTGCCCATGACCACGAAGAAGAAAGTGAGCACGACTCAAATCGGCCGGTTCTGGATCGGCGCTTTTCGGACAAAAGCGAATTTCGAGCCGCAAATTGTGTTCTCGGTAGTTAGGCTCTCATATGACATGTGCAAATAAAAACCTTGGCGAGCTTAAATGCCCTGTCAGCGTCCCTTTAAAGGGACAATGAAGACGATTTTATCTAATTTTTTTAAATAGTGTTTTTATGCTTCTTGGGAACATAGCATGCTGCCCAATTTTTTGAAGACATTTGTGACGCGTATTTCTGTCCCTACGAAAGAAGTAAAGAAACCGAAACTGAACAATCTCCATTCTCGTTTCTGGGCCTCCGAAAACGGAGGTGACGTAGGGAGTGACGTCAAGAGTGAATAGTCGGTATCGGTAGTATTTAGGAGATCGAGACTCCTGTTACCGCGGTGGGTTATAGCAGCGCGCTGGTGCGGTCGTTTCGTCGAATCTGTCAACATAGACGGCAATGCCGCTCTCCCGAGCGAGTTCGAGCTTCCGTTCAGTAAGCCAACACAAACGGAACGGGAGTACGTGTGTGGCGGCCTCCGCCATCACCCGAGGGAGACCGCCCAGCCGATAACGAGCGGCCGCATGCCGAAGTGCCCATAGTTGCTCGGTGACCGTTTCGCGTCCAGCGTAGCAAAGAAAAAAACAATTATGCTGCTTTATTTACGGTTTAGTAATCATTTCCGGTGTGATTTATACTTTTCATGGCTATTCAAGCGGAAATTAGAACAATATTCCTAAAAACTGAGAATCAAAACGTGACCGAGGGCGCGTCTCTCGTTTCAACCAATCGCTGAGGTGTCTCTTGTGACGTCGCGCTTCTTGGCCTCGCATCGGTCACGTGAGCTCCGCTTCTCCTAGCTTCTCCCGCAACTCTCGGTGCGTCGCTCCAGTCGATTCCGGTACGATTATTACCGCGACTGTGTAATTGATTTGCGCGGCATACAAGCGCCGGTTTCGGCTGAAATTTGGGCAACGTGGCCTGAGACATGCCTGGAACCCAGTTCAATCGCCAAAAAGATTTCCGAAATTGCCTTCATTGTCCCTTTAAGGAAAGTTTTGGTAATGCGAAATGGACGGCATGGAAGCTCACTTCAGCACTCGCTCAGCAGCACGAAAAAACAAATGTGTGGGATACTTCGTAGTCTAGACTCTCTACCCATGCCTACCAATGACTTCATACCACTGGAAAGTACTCAAATTCTGATACTGGCATCACTTTCATCTTCTGGTTTCCCAATACCTGCTCTGAAACTTGAGATACTTATAGGAGTGCCTGGGAAAAGAAAAGCCTGGGCATTCATAAAATGCAGTCAGTAAGGGCAGCTTCACAAATTGCTAAGTACAGCTCCAAATGCTGGCAGATATCAAACTCTTTGGGAAGCAGCTTTTTTTTATGCGGTGCATAAAACAAGGCTCACTTCCTGACAAGTGCTCGGCGGTTGTCAGAAGCAAGTCAAGCAGTAAGGTGGCACTCACCACGTGCACGGGTCACCCTGGAAGAACTCTGCCAGGAAGACGTTGGCAAAGTGGATCACTAAGGCACCGACTCCTTGCTTGGACGTGTCATAAAACCTGAGGGCAAAAGCAACATAGCCATGTTAAAGGGGCCCTGCAATCATAATTAAGCGTCTACATTTTTTGCGGTTTCCACGTCTCTTGGGGTTTGGGCAAGCGAGCGGGCATGGAGAGAGTAACTAAATATCAGTGCGTCATATTGTAACCGGACGACGCGAAAAGCTCCTCCACCGACGAGGGCGACCCGTAGTACCGAAAGCGCGCAAAATGTGACGTCTTTGGTCCTGGGCTTACTACTGGCTGGAGCCACTAAAAGCTTCTTTTTGGTCGAAATACAAAACATAGGTGGCGCGAACCGTTTTAATTATTTATAAAAGTAGTTTTTGTTCAGTATTTTAGATCAGAAAAGAAACGAATGCAGTTTATAAACTACGGAAACAAGAAATGACCCGTCGACATACCCGCCACCAAGTAGTGGAAAAGGCGGCGCGTACTAGAAAGGAGTAGTGGGATCAGGCGCCAACACGGAAAGGTTCCGGATGTATGCGGCGGCACTGCGGTCGTATCGACAGGAGGATCCGACTGGCTCCGAGCGTTCCGAAAGCCTTCGGTGAGAAGCTTCGTCTTGCGGTTTGGCCGTTTCGCAGTATGGCAGCGCGAAGTGGCTCCCATTCTGAACTGATCTTTACCCCGTGTTTGTTGTCGTTTGTGGCGAATGAAGTGTCATGCCGAATTAGTGTTTAATCGCGCAGCATATGCAATGAAAGCCGCTCTGGCTGCCCGCTGCATACAGCCTATCCAGAACATGCTTTAGTGGCGCCCTCTCGCGCCGTCGACACAGAGAGCGGCATCCGTGAGTGCTTGCCTAGCTCACTACCCCTCCTCGAGTTCACGGCCACTCAAGCAACCGAGGACGTCATGAAGGAGGTTATTTTTTGCTTGTTTTTGTAATTTTAATTTGCCTATAACTTTTAAACTAAAGCGAAATTCGAGAAAAGTTTCATTAGGTTACTACGGTCAGTGCGCTCAGGTTCGGTGCAAATTAAAAACCAGTAAAAAAAGTCCTTGCAGGGCCCTTTTAACATGTGAAAAGAAACAGCCTTCTCAAAGAAAGAATTACAAAAATAAACCAGAAATTCCATGAATTCTCACCAAATAATCCAAGGTCTCCTGTGTCTCCGTGGCTCGCAGAACCTCTTTACTGAAAATATACCCACAAAACTGTTGTACATTTCACGAGTGCACAAGAAATATTCCAAGCATTCTTGCAAAAGATGAAAATTGAGCTATTTAGTATTCTGTACATGTTCAATCTCGATTCCTGGGTGTCTGCACAGAGAAATACTGATCTCCAGTAAAACAATGAGTTGTCTGTAGCTCGAGAGTAAAAACGATCCGTTATTCTAGACCCGACCACGGGAGCTAGCTATCGATATCCATTGTTTACTGAAGGAGATATCAATACAGCTCGAAGACAAACACGACCTCTAACTGATGTACAGGTACTACGTGCATGCGTACACCTGCAGCACTGCGGCGCACATCGCTACTGCTACTGCTACTACTATTACTTTACTACTACTACAGGGTCTGAGACAAAAACCTAAAACACGGCCAAACTTTCGCTCGCTCCCTCTTCCGTGTTTCAACACACTCGATCACGACAAGCGGAAAAGCCTCTTCCTTGGCTCGGAAGTCGTACGAGGCGCCTCGGCAGTGGGTTCAAAGCACAGAGGGGGGCGGTTCAACCCGTACGCTGTCGCCACCCCCTCCGCGCGACCGCCGTTCCATCCGCGCGATCAACTTACGGATGAGGCAGGCGAACGCGAGCACCGCCAGAATGCCCTGGACGAACCAGCCGAAAGAGTTGGTGAGGGCGCCGTGGCGACAGTGCACGCCGTCGTCGTCCACGATCGCCCCGAAGTTGTCGATGACATCGCCGGCGCCCGGGGCGGCCGCCGCCGCCGCGGTCGACGACCAAGTACCGGCCGTAGTCAACGCCGTGCCGAGCGTCATGAGCGTGCTACGGACGCAGCTGCTGCGACGACCATCGGATCCCACATTCCCCGTCGAGATGTCGTCGAGGGGCTTTGTTGGATCGGTGCGATGACTCACACTTCGGGGGAGGAAGGAAGGGGCCGGGCAACCCCCTTTCGAGCCGGCACGAGAAGGAGGTTTCGCGTCGCACTATGCCCGATGCGAACGACCGTTTACGTCGCGTCGAAAGGAGACGGAGCCGCTGATGTAGCTGTGTGTTATTTCGTACTTCAGTGGTCTCAGACTGCGGGCGTCAGAAGGTGCAGCTGTCGATGAAGTAGACGTTGCGACGATAGATTGGCTGAACAAATAAACCACAAACCGCACAACACATGCACCGCTCACTTGGCTCGCTCCGCAAGCGTTTTCCCAGATTGCTTTGGATTGGATTGGCTGGTAGTGGATAGTAAACGGATGCATGGATGCTGTCCGCCACCTAGCCAACGCACCTAGCCAAGAAAGTGAAAGCGAAAGTATGATTCGTCACTCGCCTTTCCAAGCCTAACTTTGCGTAAATGCCACTTTCGATTCCACTAAGAAATTGGGGAACTCAAGCGCAGTGAGGTGGTGGTGGCCTAGACTTGGCGCAAAAAGAGCAAGTCGCGAGTCAGCGCTGTGTCTGTGGCCCTTCTTCTAGCTGTACTTGTGTTCGTTTGCGCTGTTTTAACATAGAGTCAACCTACAGGTTGGTTATTCATTCAGATCGTTTAGAAGTGATGATATTACGATTGTAGTTGTGCCGTGCCCACGGACTTTGTGTCACATTGCGCATGACTGTTTGTTAGTATGTACGCTTCTTTTGTGTGGGGATGTGGAGTCAAACCCGGGGCCTACAACTGAAGAAATGTTTCAGACAATCATTGATGGCCAAATCGCGATTAAAAGTGAAATATCTGAGCTCAGGGCTCGACACGATCGTAATGACAAAAAAATGGAAGACCTAACGTCTAAATGCACGGGAATCGAGAGAACTCTGAGCGATCTACAAATAAAGACTATGCAGATTGATTCCCTAAAGCAAACTGTAACTACTCTTGAGCAAATTATATTGAAACAAAATGCAAAAATTACTGATCTGGAAGACAGAAGTCGCCGTTCAAACCTTGTAATCCATGGCATCCCCGAAACTCCCAATGAAACCGACGACCAATTAAAAAGAACAGTACTCGTTGAACTTTTTCAACATAAACTGGGCGTTGCGTGTTCGTCCGTGGCGCGTGCTCACAGGCTTGGTAAACATGGCTCCAAAAGACCGATTATTTTATACTTTCAGGATTACAATGAAAAAACGGAAATCCTTCGTAATGCTAAAAAACTTAAAGGCTCGAAAGTGTTTATAAACAATGATTACTCGCAGGCTACACTCATGAAAAGAAAAATGCTGTGGGAGAGTGCCAGAAACGATAAAGATAAAGGCGCCCGTGTTTATCTATTTAATGATAAGCTTCACGTGAATGACGATGTATTTGTATGGGACGAAAACAAAAATACACGCGCAAGTATTTCAACCCAGATGAAAACCACCCGTTCTGACTGACTTGTACCTAATCGTAAACAGTTTCGACTTTTGAACTTAAATGCACAAAGTGTCGTCAACAAATCACACGCACTTGAATCTATCCTTCTTACGCATGACCCGCATGTTTGTGTTATAACCGAAACCTGGCTTACTGATTACATTAGTGACGGAGAGGTATTTCCGGATCAGTACAATGTATTTCGCAGGGATCGTGATGGAAGGGGTGGCGGACTGGCTGTTTTACTTAAACCAGGCATTGAAGCGGTCCTGGAAACCCAAATAGAAAATCATGAAAGCTTGTTTCTACGCCTTAACTGTTGGGGCAACACTGTTATCCTTGGAAGTGTTTATCGACCCCCCTCTGCTACTCCTGACTACTTGTGCAGGTTATTTGACCACTTGTTTAAATTTAGCAGCCATAAAATAATCCTGGCTGGTGACTTTAATACCCCGTCCGTTGACTGGCCGAATATGTGTGGTTCTTCTTCTGCAACTGAAATTATTTTTGATATGATGTTCGCCTTTGATCTGACGCAGTTAGTTCAGGTTCCAACCAGAGTACATGGTACAAGTCACTCAATTCTTGATCTTGTTTTCGTAAACAATTCGCTTAGTGATTGCACCATATCTGTTGAACAGGGTATATCTGATCACTATTTGGTCCTCTTGACTTGTTTACTTGAGCGCTTTTCACCTACAAAAAGAGTTAAATATTCGCCTTTCAAAGACTACTCGCGAGCTGACGATACTAGCATACTCGATTATCTTGACATAAATCTTGATAATTTCACTGATACAAATGTTGATACCCTTTGGCTAAAATTTAAGAACTTATGTGAATACTGCCTTGACAAATTTGTACCTACAAAATACAAGCGTATTAATCGTAATAATCCGTGGATTACCAGAAAAATCATACATCTCAAACGCAGGATAAAACGAGCGAAGAAATCAAGGCCAGTTAACTGTGATGTCACCAATCAGCAGAGCGATCTTCGTAGCCTAATTGCAGTGGCTAGAAACAACTACTTCTCCGGTACGCTTCTAAACTATCTTAAACATGACCCCCAAAAGTTTTGGCGGTACTTGACTGAAACAGATAAGCCTGTTGAGCAAATCGTGGTGAATGACACTGTCTCAACTGATCCTGGTGTTATAGCGTGCCATTTCAATGAGTATTTTCAGTCGGTTTTTTCCGATATCCGTAACCATGATTATGTGATTTCCACCACACCAAACTATCACTCTGAGTTCATAACTTATTACGGCATAGTTTCTTTGCTGTTGTCACTGAAAACGAAAACAAGTGCTGGTCCCGATAAGATTCCAAACACGTTTTTACGACGGTACGCTGAGTCCCTAGCCCATTATCTTCTCATTATTTTTCGTGCATCATACTCAAACAGCTCGCTGCCAGATGATTGGCGAACTGCCATAGTGGTACCTGTGCACAAAAAAGGGGATCGCCTAGCAGTTGAGAACTACCGTCCAATTTCCTTGACTTCTTCTTCGTGTAAATTAATAGAGCATATCATCTGCAGCCAAATCAATGAACTGCTGGACAGTCGTAATTTTCTAACAGAATTTCAACATGGCTTTCGCAAAGGCTTATCAACTACGACCCAACTCGTCACTACCATCCATGAGTTTGCGCAAATCCTCGATAGGGGAGGTCAAATCGATGTGCTTTTCCTGGACTTCAGCAAAGCTTTCGATAAGGTGCCTCATGAACAACTGCTTTTTAAACTTGAACAGCTTGGTCTTCCACATGGTTTTGTTAACTGGATTGCTGCATACTTGTCACATCGCACACAGTCTGTTTCCGTCGGAGGTTGCATCTCTCCAGTTCTGCCTGTAACGTCAGGGGTCCCCCAAGGGAGCGTTTTAGGTCCTCTTTTGTTCTTGGTGTACATAAATGATATTGTTTCAATCATTGACGCAGGTGTCCATATACGTCTTTTTGCCGACGATTGCATTATTTTTAAAGAAATAACTTCGAGCTCGGATCAGTTATTGCTAGATCATAGTTTGCATTCCGTTGTATCATGGTGCGATACGTGGAAAATGAAGCTTAACTCTGCTAAATCAACACTTTTACGTATTACAAAAAAGAAGCAACCCTTTGAATACATTTATAATATCGCGGACACCCCGGTTACTGTGGAGCGAGAATGTAAATATCTTGGTTTAATTATATCGGACACACTTTCTTGGTCTCCTCATATAAAACATATCTGTACTTCGGCATCCAGGAAGTTGGGTTTCATTAAAAGAAAGTTGAACGACGCTCCGATTCAGGTTAAGCTACATGCGTATTATTCATTAGTCAGATCCAAGTTGGAGTATGCCAATATCGTTTGGGATCCATTCACTCAGAAAGATATCCAGAAGTTGGAGATGGTGCAACGTCGAGCGGTTCGGTTTATTTACGGAAAGTATAGAAGGCTGGATTCACCATCTCAACTTATGCAGGCTAACGGAATACAGACTCTTCAGGCCAGAAGGAAACTAGCGCGGTTGAAATTCTTGTTTCATCTTCAGCAAGGACAGACTCGCATAGACCCATTGCAATATATTTCCCCTTTAGCGTCAAGAGCTACGCGGCACAGACATCAGTTTTCACTAACACCCATTTTTGCGCGTACTAATATGTTTAAGTTTAGCTTTTTCCCTCGCACTATTAGCGACTGGAACGGTTTACCTCTCGAACTATTTATCGACACCAACTTTGTAGAAGGTCTCGAGCGTCTTGACAACTAACATGTTTTGCTTTGTACATTGCTGCACCTTCATCTTTTTCGCATGGACATTAGGATTGTATAAACCCTCATACTACATCTGGATAGGTCATTTTGTATTAGTGCATGATGGAATTACATACTGCTTGATGCTTGCTTTCCCCCTCCCCCCCTTTTTTTAAATAATATATCCTGTATATTTGCTAGTTAGTTGTAAACCTTTTAATGTCGTGTTATTTGCTTTCGTTTTATGTGTGAATGTATATGTTATTTCCCACACCTACTTGGGCCTTCGATGGCTTGTAGTAACCTCTAAATAAAAAAAAAAAAAAAATATGTGTTTTAATTATATGTTTACCAGCGCACCGAGCTTACGTTTATCGCTTGCAGCGTCAATGCGGTTAACGAGCGCAATTATAATAAATAAACATTAGAAGACTTAAAACGTAAATAGATGAAGAAATCCTAGGCTCTACTCTTACCTCGGCAAACGTTTTCCGAAAATCGGCTGTTTCTGAAATATTTGCGACATCTTCCGGTCCTCGAAATGTCTCGAGAGGCCTGTTGCAGACGACGAACGGATGACGAACGCACACGGAATGACTGAAGTATGCTGTCTGCAACAGCCGGAATCGTCTGCACAAAAATATTTTGATTTTGCTTTTTTTTTTTTTTTTTTTGCAACTTTACGTGCCACACCGGATTTTCTTTGACAAAAGTCATCACACGCATGGAGACATTGTTAAAATACAGCGAGAAAAGCACCTAGCTGTTTAGAGCATGATATCAAAGCAGCGTCGGGTCTTCTTTTTGATTTTGCATTTAACGCGCATTGTGACGAAAGAGCAATTGTTTTTACTCCAACATGAGCGGGTACGAGATTCTCAACCGCGTTTTTCAGGCTCGTAATACGGGTGTTCGTTTTTCGTACCTGCCTTGAAAAAATCCTATAATCTTCAGTTTTAAAGGAAAACTGACACCCACCAATTCTTTTTATTATTGTTTGCCAGGTGAATTATTATGGTATCAGAAGACTATCCAAACAATATTTCGCTAAAGCGTCACGTACATTTTTAATAAAGTAAAAAAAAAAAAAAAACAACGTTAGAAATCGAAATTGAAACTGGACTGGGGAGGAAGGG